TTTGTTTGAACATGTTTTTGATTCTCTTGGGTCTAAAGCAGAATTGCTGGGTCATATAAATGTTTTCTAAAATATTCATTTTCTCACCACTTGCCTTTAGGATTATAGCTAATGACCTAAAACACTCTGGTGCCAAGTTAATTTCAATAGTACACAAAAGTTGTGCTTTAATAGAATTTCTTTGTCCTTTCACAAGTTATTTTTAAATTTAGATTGAAGTTTCATGTATTCTATGCCCATCAACATAGATTTATAATTACTGATTCATGCAATTGCATTCAAAATTAGAAGAAAATTACAAACAAAAATATATTTATGTTAGTTGTCATTTGTCTGTCTTTTTACTTTTATTGGTGTTTGTTTTGTTTAAGACAAAGTCTTACTCTATAGCCTTAGATGGTCTGAAATTCACTATACTGATGAGGTTGGCCTCAAATATCCAGCAAATCTCCTGCCTCTGCCTCCCAAGTGCTAGAATTCCAGATATGAATCACAGACCTGACTTTCAAGTTCCTTATTGATGTAGGCTGATAATCACTATCTAGTGATTTTTAGATGATGTTCATACTTTGTAGGGAAGGTCCACCAGTGACAAATTCCCTCAGTTTTTGTTGATCTTAGAATACCTTCTTTACTTTCTCCTTCATTAAAAAATTCAATGTAATATTTTTATTCTCTGAGAATATTAGACATGTATTTTGATCATATCCAATCCTCACTCTTACCCTTAATGTCTTCCAGATTCATCCCTACTCTTCTCCTAACTTAATGTCCACTTCAAAAATAAATCCCACCAAGGCTAATTTGTGCTGTGCATATATATATACTTTTGGGTGTGGGGCCATTCACTGGAGCATGGTTGACCTACCGGGGGGCATATTTTTTAAAGAAAACTGCCTAGCATTACTCTAACATCTATCAGCTGTCAATAGCTCCATCACTAGGGGTGGGGGCTTGTGAGCTACTCCAGCTTCATGCTAGAATGTCAACAGGCTTGAGTTTGTGTAAGCAATCACAGCCACTGTGAGTCATGAGTGCATCATCCCTGTCATGTTCAGAAGACACTGTTTTGCTTGAGTACTTCCTAACCTCTGGCTCTTACAGTCTTTCCACCTCCTTTTCCTTGATGTTTTGATTTTCCATTTGTGAGTTAGCACTCCACAGCACTTTGACTAGTTGTGAGTTTCTGTTTTAACCACCATCCACTGCACAAAAATGTTTTCAGAGGCATCTGATTTTCTCCTTCATTTTTGAAGGATCATTTGGCCCTTTGCTCTTGGATGGCAGTTCTTCCATACTTTGACTGTATCATCCCACTGTCATTTGGCCTTCATAGCTTCTGATATGAAACCAACTTGTATTCTTGTTAAAGACTCTTGTATGTAATAGGTCTCTTCACTTCCTTTTGGTTTTCTGCTTGTTTCTGGCTTTTGGCATTTCGGTCATGTCTTCGTGTGAACTCCTGTAGGTTTAACACCCATTTTGGAGGTCTTGACTTTCTAGATTCTTGTTGTTCACCAACAGCTAAGCAGTTGACAGCGTTTCCTTCTTTTCCACTTCTTGTTGGCTCAGAGTCTCAGGATCAGCCAGGAGGAGGACTCAGAGCCTTCTTTGGATTCTCCTGGGCATTTTCACAGTGCTGGGCTTTTTCGGTCCTTTTAGGCACCCTGTGGACTGTTCACCCCCAAGCCTTTATTTCCCAGCCTTTCCTTCCAAGCGTTTTGATTAGTGTATTATTTTTCTCAACTGTTTCAGTGAGCAGAAAGTAAAGCACTTGACTATAACTATTTTTACTGATTTTTCCTCAAGTAGTGGCCTTAGATCATAGCCTTTATGCCATCTCTTTGGAGACTTTTCCCTACCTGTACTAGAGAAAGGGTCTCACTAAATTTCTCAGGCTGGCCTTGAACTTGTGATACTCCTTCCTCATCTTCTCCAGTAGCTGGCACTATAGGCTTGTACAACCAGGCCCTGCTTGTGATTCTCTATGACTGCTGACCTTATTTCTATGTTCTGCCCTGGTACACACCTGCCACATGTAAATAGACACTTGGGAGTCTCTTCTTATTTACTGAGCTGCAAGAGGATCCTCCATCTTAAAATGTATTATAGTATATGTATGTATATGTATAAATGTATTTACCCTAGTCACCAGTGTCACTGTGGCTCTTACTACAGTCCATATAATTACTATTAGTAAATTGTTCATAATCTATGCTATCATTACTGCAATAATGATCATTAATAGCCTTAACAGTATGCCCGCTCACTGGTGAGTAGGGCATGCTATCACTGGTAGCAAGCTTGGCGGTAGGAGCTAGGCACTCCCACCCCATGCTTTGGTTCCCAGTGGCCTCAGTGATGTGGAGATGGTGAGTAGAGCAGGGATGGGCTCCTGACTCAGCTCTTGCCAGTACAGATTCCTGATTTGCTTTGAGACAAATTCTTGGGCACTAGACATGCCCAGAGAAAAGGACCAGTATCAAATCCACTCCAAAGCCACTTTAACCTTTGACTGCCTGTTTTCTACCTGGTCCATTATGGGTTTTGGCCTTTATGAGAAACTACCTTCCCCTTACTTGGGAGGGGTCTGCTTCTGTGTCATTTTCCCTTTCACTGATCTGGATGCTGTAGCTGAGTCCTGTTGGTGACATGTCCTGGAGTATCAAATAAGAAGCTCATGTGAAAGGCTCTGTGCCTTCTGGCTTATGGCATTGTGTGAATGGGTGACTGTAACAATACCAACATATTTAGAGGACAAAGTGACCCTGCCAGAGCTGAGAATGGGAGAGGACACAAATGACAAGAACGATTAACAGGTGTGGAAGAGAGACAGCAAAAGGGAACAAATTGTCAGGCCTACAGAACAGCCGAGTGACAACAGCCCAAGGGAGTAGTGGGGCCCGATGCTGTGATGGTGGAGCTAACCAACTGACCACTGTGATCTTAAGGCCTAGCAGCTGCCCCAGAAAAGCAGCACTCTATAGAGAACACATAGGTGACTTGGTCTCCTGTGGAGAAAACAATGGCAGTGAAAAGCAAATCAGCTTCTGATATGAAGTCTGCTTCCTTGCTTCTGAGGCTTCATATGATGAGGGCTGGCCTTACTGCTTCTTCCTGAAGCCAAATCATCCTGTCAACCATCCCTGCTCTCCATGGAACTCTTCTTCATGACCCTTTCACAGGAAAAAAAAATCTCTGAATCTCTGACCAGCATGGTGGGGAGTACTTTTTACCCAGGCTCCACATCTTAACACCAGAGGCGCTCCAGGGTAGGGCAGGGTAGGGTACAGAGGACCAGTATAATGAAGAGAGAAGACCTGCATATACAGGAAATTGTGCTTGGAGAACTTTCAAACAATGTGACAGGCAATGTGCCTGGATAACTGAAAGCCCAGGTGAGACGAAAGACCAGAAGACACATAAGGCAGTGAGTCTCTAGGAACAGAGAAGTGAGATGGTAGAGTAAGTACAAGCTACAGGACATAGAAACTGGATCCACAGAAACAGAAATGAAGCAGGTGGGGCTCCTCATTTCAAGTCCAGAGCAGGGGGGAACCCAAAGGACTCAGTCCAGAACCCACCCTGATATAGGCCAAAACTTCAAGAGACTAATCCAGTATGTGGTCTCAGGAGCACACCTGGAGGCCGAGAACTGTTGAAGTCCACCTGTGAGGGTAAAGCAGGCTTTCCACCAGGATAGGGTGAGGCCAAGGGTCTAGAATCTGGCCACACTCCAGGGATTGATAAAGGCAAATGCCACAAAGGAAGGGCAAGGCAGAACCCAGCAAAGTGCCATCTGCAAAGGGACACAGTTTGCCACAGGGAAGCTCTCCAACTAGGATACCACTGGAAATACAGCAAACGGGGAAGGATCCTTATGGTGCTGTTCAGGGTGGGCATGCTCCCATGAGTCCTAAGCTCCAGAGCTATGCTTGTGAGGGGAAACATGACAAATTGGGGCTATCACTGTACTCATGTCACTGTTGATAACCTTGACATGTAAAAGGCAAAGTATAGCTAACAGTGGGATTGTGGAAGATTGTGGAAGAGAGGGGACAGGCAGCATGGGTTATGAGCCTTCTTTTTCCTCATGAGAAGACAGAGAGGGTAATCAAACTGGTAGGAAAAGCAATAGATCTGTTTTTGCCTTAGAGCAGTTCTGTGTTGCTGGTTTTGTTACTGTGTGCATATACTGGTATCTGATTAAAACAACTCACCATCAAAACCAGAGCAACTCCTGGGCTTTGAGGTGGCCTGGCCTGAGCCTTGACACTGTCCTAGTCAGTGTGACTCAGTCCGAGACCCCTAAGCTGCAGACTTACCACCAGTCAAGGGTCTCCCATAGCAGTTCCCTGATCCGTGTTTCTGGGTCATGGTAGAAGTTGGACCCCCAAGCTCCAAGCCCCTTAAAGACCAGGTGGGAGTAGTCCCATTACCACCTACCTGGTCATGCCCAGGGAGAGCCTGAGCAGAATAGGGAGGACAGGGGCTCTGGTAGGAAGACGGGGGAGTCTTGTATGGACTGCCAGCTTCTGCCTCTTTCAAGCTTGCAAGCCTTGAACTCACTTTGCTGTTTGTGTTTCTTTTTCTGTATAGCTGCCAGGATTGATGAAGTAACACAGAAGTACAAGATCCTCACTGACAGATTGCACAGAGACACAAGATAACGTGAGGGTAGAAGGCCCTCCCTGGAGCTATCAGGAGGGACGACAGTTCCAATCCTGTTCATGGCCTGCATGGATTTCCACTTGCTTGGTATCTGCAATTTGGAGGAAAGGAGGAAGAAGGAGGTAGAGAAGGCAGGCAGAGATGGGTAGGACAGGGGAGCTAGAAATAAAAGAAACCTCATACTCTGAGAAGTTGCCTTTGACTACTGTTTGTTTCTGCTTATGACACTCTTCCCCTCTGGCCTGCGATGCTCAGCCTCTCTTCTTGTCCTCATCCCTGCTATTCTAGGTTAGCCTGATGGCAGCCCTTCTGCTACCCCAGTGGGCCTTGGCCTTTCCTCTCTGCTGCTTCCATTCCTTTCTGATACTACTTGGTTAGTTTGATCATGCCTAGCCTTGGAGGTCTCCACTGTACCCTGACATGACGTCTCTCTCTGCCCTGTGCTCTCCACCTTCTGTCCTGCCTCAGGGTCCCATATTGGCCCTCTTTGCCATGTCCTTGGGAGCCAGCCTGTTTCTTCCTTCTTTCCTAGGGTACTAGGGAATTCCTTACCATGGCCTCACTGGTTGCCCAGGAAACTGTTCTCTTGGTTTCCCACAGTGACTCAGTATCTTTTTGTGTAGTGTACACAGCCACCTCCCTCCCTTCGAGAACCGGAACAGGCAAGCCTTGGTGAGGCCCATTATCGCACCTGTGGCTGCCTGCCTCACCCTGCTCCTGTAACTGCACTTTTGTTCCCCCAGGATCCCTGGGGAGTTTTGGACAGCTGGGTGCCAGGCCCTTCCTGCTCAAACACTGCTGGGAGAGATTGATGGGCAAGCAGGTCCTTGTTCTCTCCTGTCCTTCTGAACCAACACTGGACAGGCTCAGGAGTACCTGCAGTGGGCAGGTACAACATTCACCACAACCTTAGAAGGACAGGCCTGCAGTATTGGATACCTAGCTCTGGAATGAAGTTTTCAGGAGAGGCCAGAAATGACCTTCTAGCTACTCTCACATCTTGATGGTCCCCCTCATCTGAAGTCAGATGAGGAAGGAAAGGCCTTAGAGCAGCATTTCCCAATCTGTGGGTCACGGCCTCCTTGGGGGTCGAACAACCCTCTCACAAGGGTCGCATGTCAGATATCCTGCATATCAGATATTTACATTATGATTTATAACAGTAGCAAAATTACAGTTATGAAGTAGCAATGAAAATAATGTTATGGTTGGGGGTCATGACAACATAAACAACTGTATTAAAGGGTCACAGCATCAGGAAGGTTGAGAACCACTGCCTTAGAGTCTTTGAGGTCTCCAGGTCACCTTTCCACTTAAGAAATTCAAAGAATTGGCTCAGCCACACCCCTAGGGCTATTTGGGTCAGGCCTCATTGCCCTATAGCCTTCTTTTGCCTGCCTATCTTCACAACTCTATAGCCTATCCCCCCTGCCTTCTTCACAACTCTACTAAATAAATGCTTGTAACACATTAGGTCTCAAATCCCCCTGAGTGTCAAACCTTGGGGTGTCATACCCTACAGCAGAGATCACCACCCTGGTTGCTGCTGGAAGATTGGGTCACAAGGTGAGTGAACTGCAACCAGATAGTATCAACATTGGAGATGTTCCTGAGGCCACCCCCTGTTTACTGATGCAAGACCAAGGCCCTGTCCTCAGTGTGACTTCCCATTCACAGGCTAAACATGACACAAGTAGATGTCCCTGTGTCACTCCTGAGATCATGACAACCTCATGAAGGGCACCCATATCCCCACTGATAGAAGAAACCAAGGCCTGGAGAAGAGGACCTGTTGTCTGTGTGTAATGTGTCCCAGAATAGGGCTAAGTACCACACCTGGTTTGTCCAGATCTGGCAACCACAACCTAGTCCCTATGAGACTTAGAGGTAGGGTTTGGCAGAAGACACAGCCTTCCACCATACTCTGACTTCCTCTTGCCTGTGAGGACACATTCCTCTGGCCTGTGACAGTGCTCATCACTTTTTGGAACCTGCTTGCAGCCAGAGCCTGCTTCCCAGTCTATAAACATGGGGCGTGTGTCCTGGTAGCTGCAAGCTCATGAGGAGGCGGCAAGCAAGCCGGCTGCACAGGTCCTGCGGCCTCAGGCCTCCTGGTTGCCCAATTGGTGGCTGGGGGCGGGCTATGGCCTCTGATTAAAGGCTGCCTGAAGCAGCCTGTGAAGAGACAGGTGCCCAGAAGCCCTGGAAGCCAACTGAAGCCAGTCCCAGGTAAGTGTGGTGGGGATGGGTGGACAGTGCCATGAGCCTGGAGGCAGGTAGAAGCCAACCTGAGGCAGCACTTGTTTGGTAAAGAAAAGGTTGGGGAGACCAGGGTCCTCATGCCAGATTCCTCTGTTGCCTGCTACCCAAAGGTGGAAAGCAGGGCATAATGCCTGAGGCTCCCAGTCAAAGTGTTTCCACCAAGGGGCTTGGCCAAGGCACCATTTGTGGACTATACTGCCTCCCTCCTTGATGGGAACAGTGGCTAGATCTGGGCCTGGCAGCAAAGGGAAAGGGGCCTGGGCTAAAGTCTAGGTACCTGAGGCCTTTCTTTTGTGCCTGGTTGGGTGGCAGAGCTAAGGTTAGCTGCAGAGAGACCTGGGGAAAAGAGGAGGGATTGACAGCAGTAGCAGATCCTGGTCACTTGATCTTAGTTAGCCCCATGGAGTCCCCTTAAAAGTGTCTTTGGATATGAGCCTTAGAAATTATGCCTAGCACCAAAGGCCTCATGAGGTGGGGTGGAGCAGCAGGAAGTGAGGCCCTGAGTGATAGAGCTTTGACTTGAGGGGCTGTGGGCAAAGGGGCCTTGCTCTTGTTTCTTTAGCCTTTTGGCTTATGCCACTTGTTCTGGCAGCTTTAGGCCTCACTGTTCCTGTGAGAACATCAGCATGTCTGAGCTGCCCCGGGCTGAGACCTTTGTATTCCTGGACCTGGAAGCCACTGGGCTCCCAAACATGGATCCTGAGATTGCAGAGATATCCCTTTTTGCTGTCCACCGCTCTTCCCTGGAGAACCCAGAGCGGGACGACTCTGGTGCTCTGGTGCTGCCCCGTGTGCTGGACAAGCTCACACTGTGCATGTGCCCGGAGCGCCCCTTTACTGCCAAGGCTAGTGAGATTACTGGTTTGAGCAGTGAAGGCCTGATGCACTGCCGGAAGGCTGGTTTCAATGGTGCTGTGGTGCGGACACTGCAGGGCTTCCTGAGCCGCCAGGAGGGCCCCATCTGCCTTGTGGCCCACAATGGCTTCGATTATGACTTCCCACTGCTTTGCACAGAGCTACAACGCCTGGGAGCCCATCTGCCCCAAGACACTGTCTGCCTGGACACGCTGCCTGCATTGCGAGGCCTGGACCATGCTCACAGTCATGGCACCAGGGCTCAAGGCCGCAAGAGCTACAGCCTGGCCAGTCTCTTCCACCGCTACTTCCAGGCAGAGCCCAGTGCTGCCCATTCAGCAGAGGGTGATGTACACACGCTGCTTCTGATCTTCCTGCATCGTGCTGCTGAGCTGCTTGCCTGGGCAGATGAGCAGGCCTGCAGCTGGGCTCACATTGAGCCCATGTATGTGCCACCTGATGGTCCAAAATTTGAGGCCTGAATGCCAGCATTATCTATTCATCCAGGCTCTAAGACATGTTCTTGCTCTCTGCAGCACCTGCCTGGCCTTCCTCAGCCCTGGCCTACCTGGCCATAGGATCCTAGAGCCTTCTCTGTGCCTTACCTCCAGTTGAACACCCTCTGGCTAGCCTGGGCTCCTGCAGTCTGCTCCTTCAGGGCTTCTACCTTTCACCCCATTTATCAATAAATATCACCAACTATTTACCTGCTGATTTACTAGCCAGACTTCTCTCTGCCCACACCCAAAACTATCCCGCCAAGGCACAGATGGGGGCCATGCTGACCTGACTGTGAGTGTGTAGAGGGGAAGATGTCAGTATGCAGGATTCTCCAATGGGCTTATGTTAGGTTGGGGCACTAGACCCTGAGCCTCTGGCTATTTCTCTGGTATGTTTTATGGTCCCTTTGAGTGTTGCCCCTTTCTGCTAGACCTTTTGGATGAGCAGGCTGAATCTTCCAGGCAGTGAACTGGAAGGGCTAACAGCCTACAGAGCTAGTCCATGCCTTCTTCATAGCCCAGCTCTAGCTCTTACCCTTGTCTTCCTCTGCCCCTGCTCAGCAAAGTAGCATGAGTGAATTGATATAGGGCACTGGGGAAAAACAGGTATCTATTCGTTTGTGGACATGTGGCACATGGATGCCACAGGAGGAGGGGCCACCCAGGCAGACTAGGGCACCAAGCTGACCTGAGGTGTAAAGGAGAGATGGATTGGCACATAGGGTGCCACCCAGAATGGAACTCATCCCAGGTTTCAGCTCCTTCATGGAGTGATTTGGGTGGGCAACTTCTCACCAGCTGCCTCAGCTGGACTTCAGGTTTCTGGTGAGCTGCCTGTGGGGCCCCACCCTGAGGCATTCCTGTCTTGTGGTAAGTCAGACCAGGTAAGAGCTGTGTCACCAAATGCTGGGGCAAGTAAGAAGGGGTGGGGTGGCCACACCCCAGAGTGACTCACATGAGCAAAGCCTCCAGCCTCGATTGAGCCAGCCTGGCCCATTTGGGAACCCCTAAGTAGGTCAAAATGACTAGAGAGGCTTCAGTGTGTGTGGTGGCAGGACGGTGAGAGCAGAGCACTGGTGATGGTTGCATCAGAATAGTCTCTTGGCCTGGTTGAGACTGAGGACAGTGGAGATCACAGAGGGTTGTGTCTAGAAGAGGCAAAATCTGATTCATGTATTTGTTGTGTTTCTCAGGCTGGATCCCAGGCTCAGGTGGACAGCCGATACCAGAAAGTGGTGCCCTTAGAATGCTGTCCCTGCTACTAAGTAATGACAGGTCAGAAAGGCTCAACTCCAGGATCAGCTGCCCTATCTGTGCCTTATGACACCTCCACAGTGGTCTTGTTTTGTGCTTTTCCCTCCCTGAGGCTGAGGTTTCTGCCTCAGCTATCCAAATGCCCTTGGCCTCCTGGTAGTCTGGTCTTGGATGTTGTCCCTAAGTTCTTCATGCCCACTCAGGTTGGTCAGGCTAAGCATTAAGCATCTTTCCATTTAGCACAGACAAGCTGAGACCTGCCTCCAAAGCAGTAATGTGCTGATGAATTCATGCCAACTGGCTTTCCAGGAAAGTGAATGCACTCGTGTGTGTGTGTGTGTGTGTGTGTGTGTGTGTGTGTGTGTGTGTGTGTGTGTCCCAGCCATGATGAGCACTGGTTGGCTCACAGTTTCTTTTCTCTTAATGAGTAAGTTGAAAGTAAAGCAGCAGAGATATATCTTAGAACTCCATACGTTCACATTACCCACAATGCTATGGCCACAGAGGCAGCACTCTGGTTTAATCTGCAGTATTAACATGTTCTCCATTATTTTCTCAAGTCGTGGCAGTCAACAAAGCAGGAATAAATTGAGCACTGCCATGCCCTGGCCCATAAACCTCTACGGGGTAGTTCTTTCACTGTGGTCAATAGGAGGAGGACAGAGTAGGCATAAGACTGTACAGGAAGAGATTTGTGGTATCACACTATGGCATTGATTTCTACTGTGGTCTGCTTAGATGTGCATCAATACACAGTAAAATGTGGCCAGTTAAGATGTGATAGATTTTGGATATCTCCTTTTGTTTTCATGTAACTTGCTTTTTCAATTTATATTATTTATTATTTTTGGTTTTTGGAGACAGGGTCTCATGTATCCCAGACTGCTCTTATACTCCCTATGTAGCCAAGGCTGACCTTGGACTCCTGATCCTCAAGCTCCCACCTCCTAAGTACTGGGATGATAAGCAAGTGTTGCCATGTCCAGCTTGTTTACATAACTTCATTTCTAATAGATATTAACATTTAATCATTACCTCTCAAAATTTATAAACATTTAACATCCATCTGAATGACTAGAACAACAACAACAAAAGACTATCATATGTTTGTTGAAGATGAGGGAGGATGAAGGGCTTCTTTGCTTTTGGTGAGACTATAGGTGGTGTAGCTTCAATGGGACCCAGCTGGGCAGTGTCTGAAAGGATTAACAGAGCGACCATCATGAGATACATAAGTTTTCACCCATATATGTTTCCCCAAGAGAAATTCAGAACACATTCAGGACAGCTTGGGTCCTAAGGCCCCTCAACTAGAAAGAGGTAGATGTTCCCCAGTAGGATGACTGGCTGTACAACCTATGTCACACCTGCACCTGAGGATGCTACTCAGCAAGGAACAGAGGATGCTCCTGAAACTCCAGTCTGGATGCCAAATGGATTAGCAATGCAGCAGACAGAGTGCACCAGGCCTGGAAGAAAGTTAGAAAAATGGCAAGGGCTGCCTTCCTAATTTCTTTTACCAAGCTGAAGTTCCATCAGGATTATGCAAACTCTGCTTTTCTTAATTGCAGCTCAAGCATACCTCTTCCCCACTCTCTCTTTCTATTAGGGACTTGATTTCCCTGAGCCTCTTAATTTGCTTTTTAAAATTCCTTAGTGGGCCTGGGCACTCAGTTGGCAGAGCACTTGCACAGTATGTACAAAGCCCTGGGTTCCATGCTCAGCACCAAATAAACCAGGTTTGGTGGTGTAGGCCTATAATCCCAGCACGCAAGAGATGGAGACAAGAGGATCAGAAATTCAAGGTCCTCAGCTATAAGGCCATGCTGGGACACATGAGACTTTATCTAAAAAATAAATAAAGACCTCCCTTGAATATCTGAACCTGCTAAGGCTTGTACCTGGGCTGAAAACTTAAGGGTTTTTTGCTTCTTGTCTTACTCAGCTGTAGCTGATACGGCAAAGTACCATATATGGGATGACTCACAAGCAGCAGAAATTCATTGATCATAATTCTGGAGCCTGGATATTCAAGACCAAGGTGCAAGCAGGCTCTTTGTCTGGTGAGAATTTCATTTCTCATAAATGGCACCTTCTTGATGTGTTTGCATGTGGCTGAGGGGCCCAGCCCACAGCAGGTCAGAGAAACTGGAGAGGAGATGTAGAGTAGGCAAACTACTGGACAGACCCACAGACACAGATGGGCACTTTATCTGAGGGCCAAAGCTTAACTCATTTTCTTTTTCTCTCTGCTACTTGTTCTTACTGTTCTTTTCCTGTTCTGTTCTTTGACCGTGTTGTTTTTCTTTCACTTTTTCTTCCCCTTCTATATCTTTCTTTTTACTTCTTCCCTGATGTTTCCCTTCTATTTCTTCCCTGGTGTTTTTATTTCTACATCTTTCTTTCTTATATCTCTTATTTTATTTACTCCATTTATACCTCCTAATACAAATATTTCTATGCAAGAAAAGATTACTTCACAACCACAAATTACATATTTTCCAAAAACAAATTAAAATCTTTACATAAGAAGAAATGACATTAAGACCACAAGTTATGTTTTCCTTAGAAGCCCACAAGTAGTTCAACATTTTTCTTTGTATTAATTTTCCCACCATAACATCTTCACCCCAAAGTAATGATTCTTTTATTATTAATTAACAAAGTTTAAGCAAGTCAAATATATTTCAGCCAGTTCCTTTTGCACTGGTAGGCAGCTGTTTGCGGTTTCAGTATAGCAGATTCCTCTCCTATTTCTACTTTACAAAACTTTACTCAAATGGTCTAGCTAGCCATCTGTTTTTCTTTACACACAATAGGATCATCTAATTTGCTTTTTCAAGGTGCATAAGGTGCCTACCTTGGGCCTGTGATTAATTCTGTAAGTTACATGACCAAGGAACTCACACCTAACCTTGGGCGTAAGGACATAATTGCTTTCTTTGGTCATCAGCCTGTTTTGCCACGGGCACAATTCATGGGTTTATAATGCATGAAACTTCCTTGTTCTTATTTTCCATCTTCTACAAATCTCACATCTAACAAAGGGGAAGGTAACTTCTAGCCTATTTTTGTCTTTGTGTATCTCTTATTGGAGCAATTGACAGAATAACCTAAATCATTTCCCTAATCATCTTCACTAACCGTCTTAACCACCTGTATCTTTTAGGCTGACTCAGGAAGTCCAATTAAATCATTGATCTAACTAATCATCATTGCTCTATAAAAATCATCTTCATTATGATCTGCAAGTAAATTTCCCAGTAAGGAGTGGGATTTTCTCAAGAAACAATCACACTATACTGTAGCTAGAGTTTTCCTGCCTTGCCCACAGTCAGGACAAATCTTTGTCACCTGCCAGTCCCACAGCCACTCAGATCCAACCAAGTAAACACAGAGACTTATATTGCTTACAAACTGTATGGCCGTGGCAGGCTTCTTGCTAACTGTTCTTATAGCTTAAATTAACCCATTTCCATAAATCTATACCTTGCCACGTGGCTCATGGCTTACCGGCATCTTCACATGCTGCTTGTCATGGCGTTTTCTGTAGCTAGAGTTTTCCTGCCTTGCCCACAGTCAGGACAAATCTGTCACCCGCCAGTCCCACAGCTGCTCAGACCCAACCAAGTAAACACAGAGACTTATATTGCTTACAAACTGTATGGCTGTGGCAGGCTTCTTGCTAACTGTTCTTATAGCTTAAATTAATCCATTTCCATAAATCTATACCTTGCCACGTGGCTTGTGGCTTACCGGTACTTTACATCTTCCTTGTCCTGGCGGCTGCTGCAGGCAGTGACTCCTTCTGCCTTCCTGTTCTTTTATTTCTCCTCTCTGTTAGTCTCGCCTATACTTCCTGCCTAGCCACTGGCCAATCAGTATTTTATTTATTGACCAATCAGAGCAACTTGACATACAGACCATCCCCCCAGCACAGCCAAGTGCAGACCATCTCAG